ACAGACAGAGTCTTGTCCAAAAGAGGTAATCAAATTGCCTGTAAAAGTTTCAGGCATATGGATCGCAGTTGGACTTTCGCTTGATCTCAGCCCAGGCCCCAACCCAAGAAACATGGTTAATGGCCTACCTACCCGCCCCCCATACCTATACCCAATAAGCCCCCCCGCACCAGACCCCTACCCCAAACCAGTCAAAACCCAGCTCTCAGAAGCCCCCCAACCCCTATCTCAAATGTCTGAAGCCCACGGGAAGCCGGGGGTCCCCACGGATAAGATTGGGGGTTTGAGAACTATGCACCCGCCCCTGAACCCTAAGAGCATCCACAGCCGTGTGGCGTAAACCATGTCGTACGGAAATTTAGGGCAAAATCATCCACAGCCAATGCCCTAAATTTTCACGTAGCTCAGGGAATTCCCTCCGTGCAAGCCAAAATAGGCCAAATATGTTCTATTTTGGCTCGCTCCCTAAATTCATCTGTACCTCACTTCTCCCATAACTCCTGCTTCCACGACCGCACTCCCTGCAGAATATCTCCCTCGATGATCAACTAACCCATAACTCACTTCACAAAATATGCTACAAGCCGTACTGTACAACACCACGGCTGTGCATCGTTCGAAATTTATGCCTCAAACACTTGCCTACACAATCCGTGCGGCGCTCCGTACCATATGAATTTACGGCACGGCTGTGGATGCTCTAAGGCGCCCCTGATGTATTGGGGTCCCAAAAATCCTGCCCGAAGCCGCACCCCGATGGCTCGGGGCTCGGGTCACCCTCGGGCGTCGGTTCCGGGGCTCAGGCTGACTTTGATCATGATATCTCTTGTGATCTACCTTGCAATTGATGGCTAGAATTCTTTCATTGGCAACTATTCATCTTCTGGCACTGTAATACTGGCCTCTGATGGTGTAGAAGATATTTTCCTTTTTTTCTACTTTTTTGGAGGCAAAGGGCGCGCCTGTTTGAAAAAGGATGCGCCCAGCTACTGAGCACTGGCCAATAAATGCACCTTCTCATCAAGATTGTACCATTTATTGCTATGGATCCAGATTTAAGTTTTTCCAGGATTCATTCAGAATTTGGTTTCTAAAGCTGAAGAACTTGAAGTCTTAATACCAATTGGATTTTTGAAGAGCTTTATGTTTTTCAAGCAAAAAGATTATGATGGATTCTAGTGAATGCAAAATTCTAAAGCACTGACAGGAAGAAAGTGTACTTAATTTTTGCAAAAGTCCTGAGCTTCTCATCAAGCGATTTCGACCGATAGGGACCCACTTGATGAATGTATGTGTGTCCAAAACATCAAGCGATACTAGTGTGATGTTCACGGGATTGATAGCTGAGATCTCCGATGCCGATCCGATGGAAATGATAGGGAATCGAATGATGGAGAGTTTGACGATGAAGTGAAGCTGAGTGAGATGAAGTTTTGAGAAGAAGCTGAAGTTGAGTTTTGAAGTTGGGGATAGGATGATTGATCACGTGATTGAGTTGTTTGTTTTGATCTTGTTGAGAGTGAGACGCGTTAGAATTACACATGGTTACATAAGTCAAGACCTCATCAGAGTGCAGTCCCCAGCTCAACTTTCATTCTTCAATTTCTTTTTCTTTTTCGATTTCTTGTTCTTCTCATTCTCATTCTCATTTTATATTCCCACTCTTCATTCCAATTCATCTCAATCAACCTGATTTGTTGATCGACATTCTACTCAAAATACCAAATCAGTAGATCATTCTAACAAAGGGGGTCAAGTTTCATTTAACTTAATTAATCACCAGAACCACATCAAAGATGAATTCACCTTTCGCTTCCCCTTATCCACAAACACCTACTCCCGGGGGCTCTTCTAGTGCACTTCATCTAGGTAGACCACCTCTTACTTCGCTCAAACCATTTGGTTATCCAGCACAACAATTAACTACAAACAAAAACAAACAGAAATCAACTCTAATTCAAACACCTCATCCATTACCACGTGGACCACATCCATTGGCTCAAGTTAGTATCATGAATTCAACTTCTCATGAACTTACTTTACCATCGAGTCATGAATCTTCATTAGATCAAGATTTGGCTGAATTCGAACGTAATCATCATCAACAACAACAACAACCTACTCATCATCAAACTAAATATTCAACTCATATTATGGATGACTTTGGTACAGAAGATGAAGATGAAGAAATGGAGGAAGAAGATGGACAAGAAGAAGATCTGGAAGAAGAGGAAGAAGATATCATAGAAGAAGAAGAAGACGAAACTCAAATCACTGAAAGTCTCGATGAAGAAACTAATAATACGGATTCAGTTTCTCTTCGTCTCGGTTTATCTTCACTCTCACCACCTGGAATCGGTCGTTTCTTACCAAATCATCGTCGATTATCTGCTGCACCAATGATAGATTCAAACGAACTTGATGATGATTTATCTTCAGTTGCTCGAGATTTCTCACGTGATCTATCAGCCCTTTCTCTTTCTCCCATCAGAAGAACTTCGGCTCCAACACCACTTAGAGCATTAGAACAGAATCGTCAACAATTTAAACCTAAACAACCTAATCATAAATCACCCACTCCGTTCAGTGGATTTGAAGGAATGGCTCAAGAACTTCGACGCGATCTGGAAAAAATCACTGGAGTGCTTGCCGATCAAAACAATCCTCCTATTGCATCTCGCGATCAAAATAACAAACAAGC